TGCACCAAATTCCAATATGAACTTAGGCGGCGGCAATGCTAATGCTAGTTCTAGTGGTGGTGAAGTTAATGTAGCAAACTTTGCACGAGAACTGCTTACCGTAATGCGGGAGTTGAGACAGCAACAACAGGCACCACCTTTGACTGGGCAACGAACCCTAAATCAACAAGTATCAGTTGATCATCAGGAGTTCAACCAACCAGCTATTCAACCTCAAATAGCACCTAACTCGAGGGATCGAACTGCAATGATAGAGCAGTTTCATAAAATGAACCCTCCATCGTTCGAAGGGAGTATGGATCCCTTAGCAGTTGAGGATTGGTTACGAGAACTAGAACGTGTCTTTAAATTTATAAGATGCGAAGATGCTGAAAGGGTAACATTTTCAATGTTTATGTTAAAGAAGGGGGCTAGCCATTGGTGGGAAATGACTACCAGGTCATTAACACCTGCTGAAGAACAGGCTATAACTTGGGTGAGGTTTAAGTACAAATGCAGGCATATTGGAAATAGAGATGATACCTGCAAGGACATTAGGGTCTCGTTCTGCTTCTTGCCTGGATAAGGAGAAAACTCTTGCTTTTCCTTTCATGTCATCTCCAGCCTTCTGTGTTTGATTCTGGGGACATTCTTTAGCGAAATGTCCTGATTTCCCACACTTGAAACAAACATTTTTTCCCAATAGACATTCTCCTTTGTGAGGTCTATCGCACTTAGGACAACGCTTATCACCACCAATTCCTACTATCTCCGTCTTTCCTTTCTTTGGTGCATTATTTCCTTTTCCTTTACCGTTACTCTGTCTATCAAAGTTCTACTTCCTCTTACCTGAGAAATTTTGAACTTGGTAAGAATTTCCAACGTTTTGAGTTCTTTGATAAGAAATAGCCTGGGCTCGCTTCAGAACTTTTCGATAAGTGCTCAGCTCGAGAACTGACACTGTGTCACGAATATAAGGTTGAAGCCCACGTTCAAATCTTCTAGCCCACTTTTCCTCCGTATCCACTAGATGTGGAGCAAACCTTGATAATTCCTCAAATTTGCGTTCATATTCCACGAGGGTCATGGTTCCCTACTGGAATCTGAGGAACTCCATCTCCTTTTGATCTTTCACAGCTGCCGGGAAGAATTTTTCTTCTACGAGTTCCTTAAACCTCACCCAAGTTATAGCCTGTTCTTCAGCAGGTGTTAATGACCACGTAGTCATGTCCCACCAATGGCTAGCCCCCTTTTTTAACATAAACACTGAAAATGTTACCCTTTCAGCATCTTCGCATCTTATAAATTTAAAGATACGTTCTAGTTCTCGTAACCAATCCTCAACTGCTAAGGGATCCATACTCCCTTCGAACGATGGAGGGTTCATTTTACGAAACTGCTCTATCATTGCAGTTCGATCCCTCGAGTTAGGTACTATTTGAGGTTGAATAGCTGGTTGGTTGGGCTCCTGATGATCAACTGGTACTTGTTGATTTAGGGTCCGTTGCCCAGTCAAAGGTGGTGCCTGTTGTTGCTGTCCCAACTCCCGCATTACGGCAAGCAGTTCTCGTGCAAAGTTTGCTACATTAACTTCGCCACCACTAGAACTAGCATTAGCATTGCCACCGCCTAAGTTCATATTGGAATTTGGTGCACTGCCGTGGTTGCGCTTTGGAGGCATTTCCTTTGAATGAAAAATATTCATCTAGTTAGAATTACTTCAGAACGTAATACTAACTTTAGAAAAAATCCAAAGGTCAAGGCAACTTTCCTTCATATATATACATTATTACTTTTCACAAACAAAAGTCAAATTGAGGTACGGTACATACATTCAAAAGTAGATGTACGTATTACATCCTATTCTATTCCAAAAACAAAGAAAGCTAGATAAGAAGGTGTCTAATCTTCTATTTCTTCTGGATCCTCATCGGGGTCTTCCTCTGGGTCTTCCTCTAACATGCTTTGCTCCGAACTATCTGGTAATGGTACGAGAAAACTTTCATCTAGAACTCTCGAAAAGCACTTAGCCAACGGTCCCTTATCTAGCCTAGAATTGGTAGCTCGTAAACTAGTATTCATGGATAAGGTTATAGTCTTCTTAAAGTTTCGTTGTAAATCGCGGCTACTTTCATAACTTTCTTGAAGTAAATATGTAAGGTCCTCATATGAAAGGTCATCATCAGACCATAGCACAATCTCATTTATGACTGAGGCCCAAAGTTCTGGAACTGTTTCATATAACCTCCGTATCTTCACCTTATCCCTTAAGCTATGGTGTATCTCCCATAACATCTCAATAATACAGTTTAGCAGATCAAGACGTTGTTCGAGGCTATGGAGCGGATGCATACAATAATTATAGTAAAATGCCAATAATATGTCCCGCTTCTTTACAAAATCACAAGCTTCTGTCCTTGTGGGGGTTCTTACCATTCGTGTCATAACTAGGACAAAAATTGATTATGTTACTCTACAAGGCTCTAATAAATATTTAGATATAAGTGTTTATGACTTCATAATCTCAATCATGACTTGATTCAAAATATTCCTATATCCAGCCATAGATATAGCAATTCATTGCATAAGAAAACTCATAAACTTTAAAAAAAGTTTTTACCTTGATTGTCGGTTGAAAGTCAGTTGCTAGCTTGCTCGATGATGAAGGACAGTAACTTTCTTTAAAAAAAAAAAGTCTACAGAAAAGTATAACTGCTCTGATACCACGATGTGACGCCCCGAATTTAAGTTTCGAGGGTCACGTACTAAACATAATATCTTCTGCCTTTGGTACATGTAAATACTCGTAAATAGAAGTATTACATGTTAGAAACTTATTTTCAATTTGGTAAAATATCCCTCATAAAATTTAATGGCCGGTAGAAGTGCATGTCGACATGAAATTATACTTTACATATACGGACTCGGCACTGCCACGGTTAGTTGGGGCAGCAAGTTCAACTATTTTTATAAAATTCATCCCAACTCCGTTTTCTATGAAATTTGCTGCATTAGAAAGATAATTTCAAGTAGTTTTCTAGGTTAAAATATGAAAATTTTCCAAGATCATATGATATGGGCGTTTTACTGAAAACAGTGAAATATTGCACAGGAAATCCAGATTGACCCCTCGACGTTTTAAAATTTATATCTCAGGCCGTAAATATTCAAATTGAGTGATTCTTGCGCCCATATTTAGACAACTCAAAGAGGAACGCAAAAATATTTTTAGAGTCTCAAATGGATGTTTATAGAGTTGGAAATATCATTTTAAAGTTGACCCAAAAACTATTCCGTTTCTGCCTTTTGTCACTTGCAAGGAGAAGTTTTTTAAAAAAAGTCTCTTAACACAACATAGAAGATATAATTGCATAATTTACTTCCAGTACCATATTACATCATGTCTTATACATGTTTTTATACAATACCATGAGAAAACATATGGAAAGTAGTCGAACAAAACATGCAAAAATAAAACTTCGATGCAAAAAAACCTTGTCTCTAACCCATCATCAATTATGCCGACTGACTTCCACCAACTTCGCAATTATGGATTTGAAAATTTAGTATAGAATACTATGAGAATAAGGAATAATTAGTAAGATACCATACTTGGATTTTAGCATGTTAATACTACACAAAAGAATGCAATCAAACACATATTTGCACATTCCGACTTGCCGGTGCCCTTCGGACTTGTCCTAAGGTATAAATAGATATATAACTTTGTGGACTTGTCCACCACATTCATATTATGGATTTTCATGCATAGCTTAAGCATAAATATTACCATGAAATCATACCACTTAAGCATAGAAAGTATCTTACAGTAAAACTTGAAGAAATTTCGATTGAGAGATGAATTGAGAATGCTAGGCTTTGCTTCCTTTTTCTTCCTTTCCCTTTTTTTTTCCTGTCGATTTTCTCTCTATTTGTGTGTGCAAGTGTTTTGCAAAGTGAAAGTAATTATGCTATGGCAATGGATATGTATAATAAGGATAATGGATTGAATTTGATCCCACCACCTCACTTTTGCTAACTTCCTTTTTTTTTTCTTTTTTTTTTCTTATTTTTTCTTGCTTCAACACGTTTTTAGCTTAGTGCATGAGTGTTTGATAATGATAAATGACAAGTGGTTTGATTATAGGATAATAAGTGGCCACAAATTCTAAATTTACAAAGGAAAATCAGCCAAAAATGTGCTTCCATTTATTGAAGTCGCTTATAAAATACGATTGAATTTTAATCTTTGATTGTTTTGTTTTGTTTATATGTAATTTTATTAGTATGATTTTTTATTTCTTTTTTCTAGTTAAATTCATTTTTATAAGAATTTTTTGTTTTTGGCTAATTTTTCGTCAGCTAACAAGTAACACCAATTATGTATAATATTATCGTTTTTATTTGTCAAGCGAGTCCGTCAATTTTTCTAATGATGAGTAAGTACTGAATGGAATAACAATTTGATAAGTTCAATGATCATTCCAAAAAAAATTAAAATTTAATGATTAATAAGATACCTAATCGATAAGAAAGTCACTTGACCATCCAAAAAAATTTTAAAATTTAATTACTAGTGAAAAACATAAAACAAAGTTCAATGGCCATAAAAATTTGTTACCCCCAGCCCCACCCCAAAATCCCATTTTTGCTGAACTTTTGAGATGCAGGGTGCGGACAGGGCAAACAAGATTAAAAAATTATCATGTACCACCCCATTTAATTGTTATTTATTTTTCAAATGTACTTAAACTGAAAATATAAAAATAATAATAATAAATTAAGAGCTGAATTCAGAAATATTGTGCGGAATCATGTCCCCACCACCGGTCCACCACCACCCCGTTTACTATTCCAGGCAGGGCAAGAACGAGGAATTTGGCTCGAAGAATATTTTAGAATTAGGACTTTATAAGACTCAATGAATTGTGGTACATCTCTAATGTTGTTAGTTACTTGTTTCCTTGAATGCACTAACGCACTCGACATGACTCTGGTAACTTTCGCATTACACTTGAAAATCAATTTAGAATGTGCCCTCGGCTGTACACTGTTTTCTTTCACATCCAAAAGTAAAACAAACAATTACCAGTATTTGATCAAACAATGTAGTCTTACAAGTAGCAGTCACACGTTGCAAGAACATAAGAAACTCCACTAGACAATTTCACACCCAATTTTCTATTAACAATTATAAAAAATAAGCGGCACAAAGGCAGTGGCAAGTTTCTTTGGTCTAAATGGTTGTGTTCAACAAGCGTTTGTGTTGCAGAGAAAAGAAAAGAGCTAGATTCAGAGGACCTTCAGAACTGCTTTGCTCGAAGTATGCACCCCCATTGCAGCAAGTCTCAGAGCAGCTCGACTCTTGTACAAACTACAAGGAGGAAGATCAGGTGAGCACATCATATGAAAGCATCGTACGTCACGAAGCTGGAAAACTAGGATTCCTGTAAGGTATCTTGTCTCGATTTTCATATCAATTCCAGTCACATCAAAACTCAAATGATCAAAATTTAACAGCACTTAAATGTCAGATTTGATAACCAAGAACGAACAGCTTGATACTAAAATGAATTACTAAGGGTAACAAAATTTCAGAATGTAAACCTGAAGGTGTAAAATTCAAACTAATGAGTCACAGACGGATCTCATTTTTTAGTCAGGACATCGTTCCGTGCAAAAGTTACTCCATGCGTGTTTCTTTCTTCTTCATCATTTTTCATCTTTGGATTTTCTTCATTAAGTGTTATCTCAATGTGTAGCTCTTTAATGACCTCTACCAAAGCAAGTTTTTATATTTTGTTTCTGCATGACACGTTTAATGGTGATTGATATCCAAAAAGCTGTGATATTAGGCTATTAGCATTGCTTAGAGTATTAACAGTTAAAGATTTCGTGTTTAATAACTGTTGGCGCTCTTGTGCCTAGACGAGTAAGTTCTATTGATTCAAGTTAGTTTTCAGTGCAGCAGCCTAAATTTATGACATTTTAACCTTGACAACTAAACAGGTTTATTATAGTCGAGAACTTACCCCGTTAGAGCAAGTCCCCACATGCCCAGGGTGTAAAACATCATCCCAGCGTGCCAAATGTTTAATGCCTTCTCCACTTTATTCATGCCTCCCAATGCTTTTGTCAGGGCTGCAAGTACATTATTCAGGTGAGATTGGAACTAGTTGATTGAATACAAATCACACAAAACAGATGAAACAGTCGATTCAAGGAAAAACTAGCTTGAAGGAAAAGAAGTTCCCAATTTGGGTTGGGCTGTGGGTTTCCATGTGTGAGGGTTGGGCTTTCTACTTAATTTCTGAGGGCAAACCAGTAAACAGACTTTGCCTATGTTTGGCTCATGTTTATAAACATTGAAACCACTTCATATCCACATATTTCGTGACACCCACATTACTAGCCACCTATTCACCGGTCATTTCTATCTATTTATAAAGAAAACCGTTTATTAACACATCCCAAACATGCCTTTTATCATCTCACGTATCCAAGAGATACATAACAATGTATCTGATTAATTTAAGCAAAGCATACTTTTGTCCATTTGTTTATTTATGCATGTCAGATAAAGAAACGCAAAAACTTTAAACAGAAACATTTTAATTTGTTTTACAAGTCACTGAGACATTGATTTTGAATAGATCTTCCTGCAGCCTGCTGCACCAAAACTCTCTAAGCCAGGAAATGTAATTTTCTTTCTACAATTGGCAAATACTCTGCAACTTCTCTGATGAAGAATCCTCACTATAATTTACCTGAATCCCCTCTTCACAGCAAAGAATCAATAGTCTGCTAGCTTGGGATTAAAAGTTCGATGTATAAAACTGTAGCATGTTTAAAATCATATAACAGAAAATTCAGGAAAAATCGTCGTAGTATTAGAGTACATATATGGTACTCTAGTCGAGTTCATGTTTTATCAGGTTAGGACTTCTGAGTAGTAATCCTTCGTCTTTTAACCTGGTGCATTATCTGGAATAGATTTGACAGAGCAAAAGACTGAACTTTACAATCTGTCACTTAATTTCTTGATCTTTGGTCTTTCGGGACCCCATAATTTTATCCTTCCTGTGTTTCACCATGTTGTTCATGAGACATAATCGAAGATAACAAAATATAACTAGTGAAAACCACAATCTAAGCATCACAGACTACTTCTGAAAAGAATAAGAATGTGTTCGCTAACCCTTTTATAGAAGTTACACGAACACAGCCTTTTGATAAGAATAGTTATCCCACCAAAAATTCAGTTCATCTCTATCATATTCGCTATCATTATTTCAGCATCACATAAATTTCAAAATCCTTTGCTAATTCATCATATCCTCCTTTTTATACATAGCAAATAGTCAATTCATCTATATCATATTTGCCATCATTATTTCAGTGTCAAATAAATTTCAACATCCTTCGCTATCATCATATCCTCATTTTTATACATAGCACAGTACTCAGTCATTACAATCATTTAGCCCCTGTTTAACATCCATTTTAATGAGTTTTTTGGGAAAAATGAATTTTCAAATAGTGACTTTTTTCTTTATTTATTATTATTTTTATTTTTTATTTTTTTTGGAGAATGCGTGGTTTAAAAGTAGGAAAAAGTTTTGAATTCATATATAAAATATGTTATTGCGTGAATGTGTTGTTGAAAATGAGTTTGAGAAAAAAAATTTGATTTAATGTATGTAGCAAGGGCTTAAATAGCATTATGTATACAATAAGATGTGGGGATACATAAGCATATGTTTAGGAAGAATTTATAAATAGATAGATACGAGTGATAGATAAGTGGGTAATACTTACAGGATTATTGGAATGGGTGGTTGAAAATGAAATTAGATCATTCATAAATTATTATAAATTTTGCCAAAACGAGGCTAAATAAGCAACAAGGTTTTCTCATCAAGGGACAATTATATCATCTGTCCCATTTTCACATGTTCCATCTCCTCAAAATCCTCATTCAAAAACTTATCATCAATTTATATTTCAAATTTGAGGTATACTGTTTTTCTTTCCAAAACCTGGAGCAAATAGGTCATTCATATTGTGTGATGGATCAAAATAAAGGATTATGCTAATTGTACATAAAAATGGTACACAAGGAATTACATAAAATGACGTGGAGGGGAAAAGATTGAATAAAAAAATTGACCATGTTTTAAACTGGCAAATGATAGAGCGATATGTAACATTATGCAACTCATTACGTAAAATTTGATGTATATGTATAAAGGTCCCAAAGTAAATTACCCTCATCAGGTCATCAAAGTGTTCTGGTAACATAGGATACTTTTTTGAATAGGCACATTTCTTCTTGAGTAGATGCCATCCTTAAAAGTCCACATCAATTCATCCCTCTTAATTGAGAAGATATTGTTACAGCACAAATATGTAGTAGCACAAGAACATATATAATTACTCCAGTTGAGTTCGTGCTTTGTCAGGTAAGAACTTGCAAGTTGTTGCACTCTTCTCTTAAATTGGAGCATCATTCAAGATAGATATAAAAATGAAAAAGGGTAAACTTTAAAATCTTCTACTTAATTCCTTGATCTTTGTTCTTTCAGGAACCCAATGCTCTAGACAAGACATATTCAAAGATAAAAATCTAACAACTAATAAAAACTAAAACCAAAACTAGACTTTCAAAGGGTTCAAGTCTGCTTTTAAAAAGCACATGCAATTGACGTAGGATATAAGACTTGAGAAGAAAGCAAGCAAGAGAAGGAGGGGAGAGAATCAAGAGAATTCAGTAATCAGGTCTAACAATTATAATGTTTAAACCCTCTTTATATAAGGTTCCAAATAAAAGTAGGGAAACAACTAAAGAAATAATAAACACTTTAAAACATATAAAATAAAACCCTTCACAAAAACTATACAAGGCACCTGTAATGACCAGAGCCTCATGCCCAACCGTTCTCTAACAACTGCCATTTTGGAAGGGAATCTTCCCCTTTATCCCTCATGGCTTTCTGTCGTGTCGCCCAGACTTAAGTTGAATCCCCGTACCAATTGGACAACTTTTGAGAAGTATGGTTATCCAACCAAATCTTCAATTCAGTTATCTCAAATTGGATATCATTAGTCCAGTGTCATGTAAATTTCAAAATCCTTTAGTATTTCATTGTATCATCATTTTTCTAGATCAGCATTGTGTTGCCTCACGACAATCATTAGAATGGTTTTAGATACACCGTACACAATAAGATTCTGGGATCAATAAATCAGCAACAAGGTTTTTCACATCACAAGGAAAATTATATCATCTTTTGCCATTTTGACATGTTCCATCTCCTCAATTCCTCGTTCAAAAACTTCGCTTCATTTTATATTTCACATATTGTGGAATACATATACCCTTTTTCTGTCCAAAACCTAGGGCAAACGGATTGTTCATAGTCTGGCATAACAAAATAAATGACCATCCACCAGGTCATATAAGTGTCCTCAGTAATGCAGGATATGCATATCGATGGATCCATTTTCGTTCCTGAGTAGCCGTTATCTTTGAAAGTCCATATCATCTAACCAATATTGGTCAAAAGGATATTGTTATGGCATAAATATAGAGAAACGAAAAGAAAAGGGATTGATTGCTCAGCCATCAGAAGCAAAGATGAGATGCGTAGGAGGAGAAATTTCTTTTCACCTGATACGTACAGGCTTCAAGAATGAAGAATTCCATGATGGCGTCAGGAATGTCTGGTAAAACTAGTAAAGAAAGAGAGAGAACTGGATAGCATACCTTTCTGCAGCTGCTCAGGAGTCAATTTCTGCATTATTAGACGTGCAAGATAATTAGTCATTGAGAATTAGCATCAGAACAAATATAAGCTTCATTGTTACTCTATAACCTGAGCTTTCGGGTTGGCCACCAAGCATCTAGCCATGAAATTGGCCACACCATCCACTACTTGCTCCTTGCTCACAACTACATAATTTTCATTATCAATTCCACTCCGCTCTTCAGCATTGCTCGGAACCATGTCCTCGGTGACCCAAACCCACCAACTAGGCTCTTCTTTACCAACATTAATCAAAATCTCCATTTTCTTCAAATCTTCATCTGATCACATTTACCAAAAGACAAGCAGAAACATCAAATATTAATTTTTAACCTCCAAACATTTTCACAATGAGTATATGTATATAGCTACATACAGTTTGAAAAGTTTATGGCAGCCAAGTGCACAACACTCAATGAAAAAATAACAGGAAAATCATCAGTCTATTTCCAATAATAGACATCATTTTGGAAAATTATTTTGCTTCTGCAATTGTACATTGTTCTGGTATTATTTATTATCATATATAAACATATCAATCAAACTAGCCCGCATATATGAAATTTTGGAAGATAAAAATAAAGAAATTAACAACCTGAGGGCTCGTTGAATGGAAATTTGCATGCAGCACCCTCCACAGATTTCTGCCGGAGATTTTCTAGTTGATCCAGGAAGCTTCCAGAATTCACAACAGCTAAAAGACGCTCGTGCAACTGCAATTAACTCGATAGAAATTTTAAAATTAAAAAAAAAAAAAAAAAAGAACAAAAAAAAAAAACCAACAACGTCCTTATCAGCTTTTCCCCAGAATTGTAAATAAACAGAAAGCACAAGAGAAGAGGGTAAAACTGCAAAATACCGTACATCAAGAGGGCAATTCTGTAATAGAGAAGGCTCCCTGGACATGCTTTGAAAAAGGGTCAGATTTTGTTGAAGTAAATTCCGGAGGCGTTGATTTTCGGAGCGTAAGGATTCTAATTCCAAATCTTCTTTGCCCGGCGGCGATGGCACTAAAAGAGGCGTTTCTCGGTTGTGATGGTGGTTGTGGCGCCGTTGGGTTTCTATGGCGGTCCAGGCCACATCAGCCACCTCCATCACCGTCTTCGCCACCTTCATGGACGCGTGATTCGGCATTATCTTAACGTCTGACGATTGTTTCTTGTGTGTAACCGCCTAATGTGTATTACGGATGATTTTGGATTTTGGAAAAAATAATCAATAGAATAATTACCAAAGTCAGGCGATCTAGGGGTAAAAATGATTTTTTGACGGCCATTTATTGTCGATTTCAATTTTCTGGTTAATATTGGGTTCGTCTGGAGATGGAATAGATGAAATCCTCAAAGGTAAAGTTTAAGAGCATGTTTGGTAAAAATTTTAATTTAATAAAAATTAATTTTTTAATTGTTATTTTACTATTTCGACAATCATTTTTTAATTCTTCTCTCACAGATAGAATCTACTTTATCTCTAACGATCAAAAAATCAATTAATAAAATCTCATCAAACAAGCACTAAGTATAAAGGTATTCATATCAATTTGACATAAATTTTGGGAAGTCAAAATAAAGACTTAGGTCCTGATAGACTCACATTCTTTTAAGAAAATATATTTTTGAATGATGATTTGACATTATTTTAATCACAAATTTTTCAATTTCAAAATTTTTTCTTATTTTTTTATCACGTATTTTTCATTAATATACTGTTAAAAAATACGTTCTTTTTAAAAATAATGTGGCTCGGCTTAGAAACTTAGCCTCAGTTTGGGAGGCATTATGACCCCATTATGACAAAAATTTCATCTGTTGGCTCGGCGGTGGATCCCTTGGTCGCTGTCATTATTGACACATATCAGTGACCATTTGAATTGGCAATTAATATGGGCGTGAAAATAATGAAATTGTCGCACCATGTTTCTATACATATACAAAAATGAAGGATATAAATGGTAATTGACAAAATCAAATCACATTGGAATGGTCAAATGTTGTGGGTGACTTTTTTTGGCAGAAAGTGGGTTCATTTCAACGATAAAAAATGAATTCTTTGGGTTAAAAATGGTGATCAAATGGGGGCTTAATTTTATATTAGTAAGTAGTAGTCAAAATATGTATCTATTTTCTCATTAAATTATCCGAATTCTTCAGGAAAATAATTGTATTCAATGCTAAGGTAAGAAAATGATAAAATCTATTTATTATATGCATATTAATATTCCTTATTTGGGGAATTTACATAAATGGTCAATTTTTAACTTTGCATTTATAAATATGTCACTTTTTTTTTTTTTTTTACATTGCAAGAATGTCAATTTTAGACATATTTGCCCCTCTAGAGAATCTCAAATACCAGAAATGTCCTAATGAAATGAGAAATGACCAGTGGAAGAAATTGTACTAAAATTAAATGAGATTTAACCCATGTGCAGAAATTGTACAGAAACCTATCGTATGAATTTGAAGAAAAAGGGAAAAAATTAGACCCAATACCAATACCAATACCAATGGAAAAAAGTTGTACAAAAATCAGCCCCAATTTTTATATCCTCGTTCATACTCTTCCTCTCTCTGTGGCCGGTGCATTCGAAAGATCCAAGAAGGTCGAAAGTCCACATCTCTTTCAAGTCTAAGCCTGCCATCATTGACTCGCCATCCACGCCGCTGCCTGCGTAGCCCTGCCGTACCGGTATCAAATATAATTTGTATGTAATATGCGTTTAGATTTCAATATTCTTTCTCTTTTTTTATTTTACATCCAACAATTTGTTAAGTGAAGTGAGTTAAATTGGGGCTATTTTATTGAAGTTTCGAAAATCATTATGAAGATTGTAATGAAAATGCAGTATCAAATTTCCAGTTCTATAAAGAAACTGCAGGACGACGAATATTATTTTTATTTTATTTTTTTACTTGGGTGTTCTTCTGTAGTTTCAATTCAATGGGGGAAATTAGAAATAGGAGATAAGTCGTGAAGATTTAACTTGAAATTTTCGTGGAAAGGCTAGAATGTGATGTAATGACTCCATTTATTTTCCTTTTGAAGCCATTATATGAATCTGATGAGGTCATTATCAGTCCAAGTTTTGCAAGTTCTGTAATTTCAGGAAGAAAGTAAGAGTCTTGTCTTGTTTGGATCTTAAAGGTTCTTTTCGAAATACATAGAAACTCTATTTCATAACGTGATTTTGTTTTTCTTTTAAACATTTTCCTGGGAAGATAGAGTATTTTGAGGTTATGCCTTTTCATTTGACATCAAGGATTCTGCTTTCTATAGAGAAGAGGATGCACTTTTACAATACCATTAGCATTAATTGGAATTGGAGTTTTGTAACTGTCATTTAGGTTGAGGATTTTTAATTTTTGTTATTGACACAGATTACAGAATGACATAATAATTGGAGAATGTCTATGGCAATTGGACAAACTTACTTGTATGAAATCAATATTATGTATTTTATGGATTCAATGAATTGGATTTTGATTTTTTTCCACTTTTCAATCAAGTATTGTAATTCAAACTCAAAGCAAAGGGGGCTTTTTGAAAATTTATTGTTGATACTGTAGATAAAACTTGAACATATATGTATTATTTATTTATAACAATTCTTTACTTTGAGATTAAGATTAGTAATTTAGTATAATGGCAGAAAGAAACGTCACTCATATCTCATTGGAGGTTTACAGTTTACTGGTACACATCTCAATTGTAAGAAATATAGGAATTTTAGATATTGTAGTGATGCAATTTAAAGATGTTTGACATAATTTGCAGGTGCGAAATGTATTTAATAAATCGTCACATTTAATTTAAATTTATTTTCCATAATTAATGTTATAGGTTAAAAATTTTTCCGTTGAAACTTACTTTTCTAGCGAATGATTTGGATAACGACTTTCCGAGATCTTGTGGGTTGTGAGAGTTGGTACATTGTTACAATTACTTTTGTTAGCATAAATTTCTGCATCCATTTATGTTTTCATGTACCTTTATATATTTTTTCTCTGTGGAGTTTAATTTCATAGTTATCATATGTAGGATGCTATTGAAGCCTTGGTAGAAGAGGCACTGCCAAAGCCAACACCACGTCGGAACTCATCGAAGATAACCCGAGCAGCTGATGTGCATAATTTGTCTGAAAAAGGTTCTTTTTTATAGATAGAAAATTGTAGTTTTACTTTCTTTTTTTTCTCCTTTTATGTTTCATTTTGAAGTTTGTATGTATATATTCCAACCTGAGACTTGTGTTTGGAAATGATGAGATGCATTTGGCAAAGGAGGAGGAGCAAGATTAATGACAAAACAAAGTCATTGCAAAATCTAATCCCAAATTCAAACAAGTTAGAAACCACAAATTTTTTTATTTTTCGCTTTAGTGGATAGTTGTAGTGTTGATTTCATTAAATCTAATGGGGTTTACTTTGTCATTTCCAAATGTTTATCTTTTGCAATTGTGTTAGACGAACAAGGCTTCAATACTGGATGAAGCAATTGAGTACCTCAAGCAGCACCAACTTTAAGTACAGGTTTGCACTTTATTATGTTTTGTGGAAAATAAAAAGAAAACGATAGAAGTCTTGCCTTGTGATAAAATGTTATTGTCAAAACTTGGAAATCAATATGTTTGAAGGATTATTGCTAAATTTTTGTAATTCATGTGAATTATTAAGTTACTATTCCATTTGCTTATGCTTTTGTAGTGCACTTGTCGGGTTTCATAATCTTATTAACAGGTTATTCATGGTTGATGAATTGGTGTTTAAGTGATTAATTGTCTTGTCACTGATCCACTTATGACTTTTTAGGTTAAGTGATTAAACCCCCTTCACATTTGTTATTATCTGTCTTTCCATTTCCAAACATTTAGTGTTGTGTTATTATTATTATTTTTAGGGAATAAGATGAGTTGAAAATCTCATGGACTAAGTTGGGGTTTGGTCTATGGGGTATGTTTTCCTATTTTATTTGGGGGATTGACGGAGAGAGACGCGAAACATTTTGCAGCATTACATTTTTCGGAGCTTAACCTTGTTTAAAAAAGAAAATTTACGTGATCTCTGGTTTTTTGGCCCGGACTGAAGATATGTTTTTGTACATGATTATTATTTTGTTAACTTTTTTCACTGATGGGCACTTATCTGTTCACTTAGAAATTTCAGGTTAGAACTGCATTTAAAGCTCGAAATAGTGTGATCTCATTTATTTGATTTAAAGTAAAATTCTCGTAAACAATCTTGGAAATCATCCCTTAGCTTCCTTTTCAGTTCACATTTATTCATTTGGGGACAATATGAAGTATTTTTCACCTGAAATTCATTTTATTAGACAATGGTTTACCACGAAGATTATGCCTGCACACAGCTCAAATGCTAAAGTCTTGCAAATGTGAAATTTTCGTTTTAAATTTATTTTTTCTGATTCTTTATTTCGATATATAAGAGGCTTCACTCATTTATATTTCGCACATCGAACACAAGTACAAAGAGGGACAGCTTGCTTACGGAGAGGGGAAGAGAGAGAGAGAGAGAAAGAGAGAGAGACGAGTCCTTGAATTGTGAGAAGAGCGTTGTGGAGAGGAGCAGGTTGTTCCCAGTCTGAGGTTGCGTGTGGGGTTTACTTTGAATTGTAAATTATTTTTAATAATAGATTACCTGTGCTGACTGGTCCGTCAAAGATTTTATTCGGAAAAAACTCTAAATTGTCAACTTATTAGTTGGGGCTGACATACATATCGTCAAAATCCATGTAATCGTGGATCTCATAACTGATAAGTTAAAAATTAAAAATTATTCCAATTTATTCAATTTATAAGTCCACTTACTTTGATTTATACAATCTATGAATATTAACTTTATACTTACATCTATATAAAGTATTTAAAAACATTAAATCAATTTTTATCGGTATATTTCGTGTGATTTATATGTACCACCTACTTCTACTATACTCATCACTTATAAAAAAATATTAGTGGTTATTGTAGCTGGACTTTTGTTTGTATTGGACAGAAGACACGAACATCGAAACATCTTGTGCTTGTGGGATTTTGTATCCCTTTAATTAAATTTAATTTCCATGGAATGTCGATGTATAACTTCATACATACATGGGAATATTTGGTACAGCCAACTCCCGCGACTGCAAAAGTCAATTAATGTAATACACGTTGTAAAGAAGATTTGGTTTTCGGTGATTTCATTTGGTTTAGGGAAAAACTATCTCATGCTAGGATTTGGTTGCTCAATTTGATGGGATGCCTGGGATGGATAAATAGTTATTTTCTTTCATTTTATTGATTATCTCAATTACTGTAGACCATGTTGACATGTCCAAAATGGTGTAATTGATTGTCTTAAGTATTCATCAAATAGTTGAGATGTATGATATTGTTTCCTACCACTTTGACCTCTAAAATTGTTTCGTTGAAATCACTTGCATACATGTCCTTCACTGTCTCGTATTGAGTATCCATTTATGCTTACTACATTTAATTTGTTTCTTATTTTTGATAATAAGTACGGTAACTTGAATGGCTACGAATTCGTAGGTCCTTTTTATTTTTTTCCGTATCCTCTACTTCTATGTCAGTAATAATCATCATAGTGTTGCTGACATTTCTCAACACTCTTTCATGTCAGATCTTTTGTTTAGGGGAATAATTATCGACGTGTGTTTCTAACTTCGGTGGTGTGGTCATATTCCGGACACATTCATAGCTGTTCTATTCCAAGCCTCCCATTTGTATATACCAGGTGAGGATTCGTAACACTTACTTTCATTTTCAAGTAGGTTAGACATATGGGGTATTTTTATATGTAACTTACGTTAAAACCTATGCTTGTATGGTAACATATACATAAATACGATTGGCTATCTTTCCAGTTTCTAGCATGCATGTGTGCATTCACACATCTTCCATTATTACTTCTCAAACATACTTGTATGTGGCATTACCTAATATGTTGAACTTGCACCCCTTAGCACGCATAGCAACTCCCAGTGAACTGTCGACCCCAACACTTGACCTTTTGTTTTTCTCGACAGTTACCCTATCATCCCTATTTGGATATCAACCATCGGTATCGACAGATGTCCACAGACAGTCTGTCGATACCGACGATTGATCTCTATACTTCTCGACAGATCACCGTTTCCATGCATGATGTCGCTTCATTATACCGTTAGACATTATACAACATTGTTTATGTTTATAATCTAATTCCATGGATTTTGTCAACGCACCTTGTAGGGCAGATGGACTTTGAATTCCTGATTCCAGAAGATGCACAGTTGCGGGCCCACATTTCCCAACGCAGCAACCTCAAGTATATTAAGATCGTGATGGACCATTTTGACGAGCGGCAACGCGAGGACTTTTGCAACTCCCCCCTCGGGTATCTGACTGATGTTCCAGACATTCAATTCTCTGCCCAACTAATCCCACAGCTAGTGTTTAGAACAGTCCGCACAGAAAAGATGAACGAGCTTTGGTTTAATGTACAAGACCACTTGATGAGATTCGATCTAGAAGAGTACGCTGCTGTGACGAGGTTAAGATGTGGTCTATTCCCAGAGGGGGATGATTTCGATCGATTGATTGAGACGAAAATGTTGAAAGAGAGGTACTTTAAGTCTAATGAGAAGATATCATTGACACAACTACAGTCTACTGTTGCCCGACCGTCGACGACCCGTGATGATCACTACAAGCTTGGGCTGGTTTTAATTGTCGAGGGAGATTTCAATGCTCCGGATAATAATGTCGGTATCCATTTGCCGACACTATCAATGGTCAACGACCTGGACTTCTTTTTTTCTACCCTTGGGGTAGAATTAGATATAGGCGATTGTTGCACGGGTTTCGAGGTAACTTTGCAAGAAAATTCCAACAGGTCAAAAGGAGGAAGGAGAAAGAGATTACATGCACAGTGCACGACTTTTCCATTGCCATACAGGTACACACAATTCGTAACATTATCATAGCATGCATGATTTACTCCTCCGATAGCATTGTACCTATAATCTCGGTAATTTGAATGTGTTTCTATTGTTGCAACAGGTTTGGGCGTACGAGGCAATTTCGGAGATTGGGGAACGCTTCAGTCAGTGAGTCAGTGAACGAATGCCACGACTTCTTCGCTGGTTCGCACAGAAACAGCCACAACACCGTACATACGATGCATTTTTCAAGAATGTACAGGTATAATTACAACATGTGTTCGTTTCCCTTTACCATCTCGTGACAATATGCTACGTTCTCATGTGATTATCATAACCTCATTTCGCAGCTGCATGTCTGCGCCATACTTCGCCCCACCGATGTAGAGACTGAGCAGCCATATTTGTACATTCTCGTGCCGTACGACGATCCCCCGGTGCCCGTGCTTGATGACATCGTGAGGACTGTTCTTGCACCACAGTTTCATTCGTTGCACGCCGATAGTGGAATTGGTGGACAGTCGGGAAGGCAAGATTTGGACGACAGAGTCCGTAGTGGATGAAGTGGTAACGGTGAGACATCCAGAGATGATGATAGTGATGGGCAGTCAGGAAGTGATCGCGATGGTGACGACAGTGAGGATACTGGTGAGTCTTCCACTCCTCCGGCGGCACAGGTTCCTTCTCCAATGCGAGGGCCTACGACATACACACGGCCAGTTGGAACATCTGCTTCCAGCTTGACCAGAGGGGAAATGGATGAGCTGTTACTAGACCAAAGAATCCTCTTTGAGATGCGACTCTGGACTGTGAAACTTGAAATTGAACAGCATGTGACATTTGAATGTACAAGACTCCGTGAGTTCATTGCTGCCCTAGTGGCTCCACCTCCCCCTACCACTGCTCCGTGCTTAACGGGCGCCATTGTCCAACCTGGTCTTTCAGGTTGTTCACCATAAGGTATGAATCTGACATGTGCTCTTTTGTTTTATTTTCTGAACTTAACGACGGTCCGACCGTGCCCAACGTACCTGTTTTGAACATCTTGTTTCATGTTACAATTGGGATGTAGACATACATGGACGAGGCACAGACCCATTGCCCACTCCAATTGAAATGGGAGTCGACACAGGACGATGGGCTGGCGTACGTCCCACAAAACGAGGTCATTATCATCTCGTCTGACGAGTCAGGTGAAGACAGTGGGGGAGAAAGTTCAGTAGTCGACGACGAGTGAAATGCCAGTCGTGGAGTGTAGTGAATAAGTAGTGTACAGTCCAGTCTTTTGTAGGGATGAATTTGGTTAACACAGAACCAAAATGTCTACATGAACATGTCCCTAAGCTATAATCCGAGTAATGTATTTTGTGTATAGTCCGATCCGGCTGAACTGTCGAGAATTACAGATTTCTATCTGTCAAGAACGACAAATTAACCTACATCTATATTTTCCACCACGTTTAGTGGCTGTTATGAAATGTTGTTTATCATGAGCTGAATTATCTCCACGGATGACAATGTTACAAATTATAATAAATTTCATGGGTTATCGAAGATAACTTTTTTAAATGGGGTTCATCATGCTCGTAGTGCAACGACAAAATTACAACGTTGCAATTTACAATTTATTTGGTTTGGGATTGAAAATCGCATATTGAATACTGTGTGATTCGTACAAGGTTTTGCCTACTACCTTCAAGTATTTTGAATGACCGTACACTTGGAGGGTTAACTGTACGTGTTTAAAGACATTGTGTCGAACATGTTACAATTATGTTGTTTCCTGTTCACAGAATCTACAATTAACCATGTACGTGAAACTGATCTTCAGTGTTGTGCACACTTTCGTCAACTGTCGGGAATCCAGAACACATCTACCGGGATAGACATTTTACATGTCGGGATGTTGCGTACGTGCTGAACAGAACAGTCAAGTATGAAATTCGTATGTGCACAGAAGGATGTCGAACATCCAGAAACGGTAATTATCACAATCTTTATAACATAACTTCATAAGGTACAATACACTACGGAACATTGAACATACAACGTCGATTACACTAAAAACTTTTAAGGAACTTGTGATATATTGGGATTTGAACATGTGCTCCGATTATGATCAAGTCGAGCACAACGAGTGCATTTCCTGCTCGACCATGCAGACTCGTGTCTTGAACGCTTACGTTGAGTCAGTCGTCTACCTGGAGGATAACGTACGAGTGGTGACAAAATAGGAGTAAATGTAATTAAACTCGGAACAACTCAGTCCACTTCATGTCCAACAGGATATATAGCTTCGCTATAGACACCCCTCTAATATTCAGATGTGTAATAAGGGGAGCAAAGAGGTCATACATAGACTTTTCTCTAAAGTAAGCAGCACGAGTTGCATGAACACATGACATACGATTTAGTTGGAACTCACGACATGTACAGGTATCTTCGAAAAAGTCAACTATATCCACATTGTTGGATATTCCAACCTGAGTTAAGTTGTTTGTCAATAAATGGGCTCGAAGCCTAGTTCCACTTTCGAATGTCATCCGTAACTCGTTTTCCATCCTCGGCGTCAATACGGTACTGCATTCGATCGCATTTTTTTTACGTTCATAAAACCACTTCTGCATAGTACTCCAAATGTGTTCGACCAAGCAGGTTATCGATAAAGAACCGGCTTCTTTCAACATGGAGTTCAAAGACTCTACGTTGTTGTTCGACATAATGTTGTAACGGTGGCCAATAAATAGTGCTCGGGACCAAAATGAATAATCTGCACGCTCTAAGTACCCGTGCGCTCTTGCGCTCACCCTAAGAATTTGTCCCATGAGTCTTTCAAAGTCCTCGACACGATAGGTCGTAGCAGCTCGTTTGAATAGAAGTATTGCACTTGCGTTGCTGTACCGCTGTATTAGGTTCTTTTCGAGATGCCAGATACAACAACCATGGTGAGACAATGGAAACAACTGAGTAATAGCTTTGTCAATGCTCTTTTTCCCGTTTGAAACAAATACGAGGTTGTCGGAGTCCCCTATAAGCTCTTTCAAGTTGGACATAAACCACTTCCAGGATTTATTGATTTCAGCAACCACGATCCCCCATGTTAACGGATATATCTGTTTGTTACCATCTTAGACAGTTGTCAGTAGAAGTGTTCCTTTGTATGGACCTTTCAAATGACTGTCGTCAACACAAATAACGGGTCTTAAGTACTGCATGTAACCACGAATGCTTGCGCCGAAAGCTAGGAAGAAGTAATGAAACCAATTTTAAGAATCAAGTTCTATGTGGGTTACTGTCCCCGAGTTACTCTCTCGTACGATGTGGCAGTATGAAGATAATTTCTGAAAACTGGCTTCCGGTGTACAATGTAGCATAGTTAAGGCATGAAGCTTTCCTCTACGAGCTTTGTTGTAACTGATTTTTACAACGAACTCACGTTCCATATCACGTGCAATAGCGGTAGGGTCATACGATCGATATGGAGTATCCAGTTTTCCCAAAATGTGCTCGACAATTACAGAACTAGTGGCATGTCGATGTGCGTTACGACGAAAATCAAGGGAACATGTATGCATGTTAATGGATTTACGGATCATGAAGATCGCAGATTACTTGACAGTAGAAGCACGTAGCATCCACTTGCAATTATCGCCCATACATACAACAGTTAACATTTTCATGCTTAACCTGCTCACCCGAAATTGGAACTTCTCTTGCAAAGCAAGTACATGAATATTCGAGTACAATTGTTTCTTGCTAAAGAATATTTGCTTTTCGGCGAGAACGATGACTGTAATCCATTCATCCGTGCCTAAACTCATGGAATGTGATGACATTGGCTGGTCAATGTCAGCAATAATAGCATCATTCGTACCATGTAACAGGTTATCTAAGTGTTCAAAGGATGCTGCAGCCACGATATGGTCAATTGAAGGTGCGGGTGCTTCGTTGTTTGACCTACTGTGCTGATGATTGAGCTCACCATGTTGTAAATTATAGGGAAATTCCGTTCGGTCGAGCAAGTGCCCTGCACAGTTTGCTTCCCTCGCCATATCAACACTTGGAACCTCGGTTTCCATAATAGTGACGCAGAGTGCAGTCTCCTTATGAATAGATATGTACCAATTTAGGTCCTCATCGGCATGTATCTCTGTCGGAGATATATTCAAATTCGGGACTTTGAACTTCAATTCAATTTCATTGCGGGCTTCAACAATACCAAGTTTGTCCTTCAATCGAACACGAGTCCTGCTATGGTAATGCTTCTCGGTGCTAAAATGGAAGTCATTTTGTCCCCTCTTCACTTCCATTTGTCATTCACGTGAACGAAGTTCCCCACACGCAACACGATGAATCTCAAATCTTGAGCCATACCTGAAATGTTGGGACTACAAAAGTTAGAATTCTGGACATTCATATGTCCAAGGATTGAATATAGTCAAATTGGCGCATTACAATACTTTGATCCATGTAGTACCAAAAAGAGAGAGCTTTTCAAGTGTCGAAATCGACAATTGAATTCTCTGCCCATCTCGATAGTTACTAAATGTCGATTTCAACAATTAAAATGTCTAACCCGACGGATTCTATGAAACTGCTCAACAGTTGAACTACCATAAGTTTCGGGGAAGCTAAAAATCATGTGTTTGACTGTTTTAAGAATTTATTGCAAAACATTAATGGTCATAATCAATTCTCAATTACAACATCAACTGATCTTCCCACGCATAAAGAAAGTATAACTCAATGCTTCATTAAATATGAAATCCTTCACATTTTGTTGAGAATATTCGTATTTTTTCCCTTTCTAAAATCTACTAAAAATAAAACACATCAATAAATAAGAGATGATATATGGATAATTAATTATGACCATGTTCTATTGAACATTTAAAGTAGTTAAGTATGGCATGAAAAGATTTCTTTCCTACTACCTCACATTTGAGATTGATCAATGACTTTCTTTCATGCCTTGTTGATAATGGAAGGGGGATGATGAAGAAGAAGAAGCTATTTCAAGTCCTACGTGTGTGTGTTCTTTTTCCACCCCTTTTTTTAATCAAAAATCATATTATACAATATAATATTCATTTCTTCAATGTTAACAATAAAGAAAAATAAATAATCACATAACACCATTAATTGCATTCACATCAAGCATTTATTGCTCCTAAAAAGGTGTCAAAGGGTAAGATGGACATTTTGTAGGGAAAAAGTGACATTTTTGAAAAAAAATTGTGCAAGACAAATTTTTTTATACATTTTCAAATTTAGTGACATTTATGTAAATCTCCCTTCCTATTTTTACATTAGGTAATGCAATGCTGTACTACAATTCATATATGCCATACCAAGATGGCACGGGATTGTAATGGGTTGGTGAAATCACTTTCTGCTAGGAAGTATTGGTGTGAATAACCTTGTTCAATTCCATGCATGTTGTTGAATTCTGGGAATTCTTTTGTTGGGGTCTTCCATAGGATATGCCTGTTTCACGATACATAATTGAATCGGCTGTAATGTGACGGGTTACAATTGGTGGTGCATTCATTGAGCTGCTGAGTTTCATATAACCGCATTTTCCAGTAGTATTTACCTCTGTTAGTGTACCGTATTGATTTGGGTAAAATTTGGAGAAATGGAAAAGTGTTCATGGGAATGAGTTCATCTAGTGGAAAGCTCAATTCAGACTAGTAATGTGCATAAGGGAGTCGTTTTTCTATTTCTTAAAAGCAAAATCTTTTCCCAGAAGAAATCAGGCTGTACTACATAAAAGAACCTAATAATTTCTTCAATCGGATTATTCAATAGATACAAACATAACTCAGATATCAAGTTCAATTTCCTACACGTGTCATGCAGGGCCATTTCTTTTCGTAATGCCTTTCGCACTTCCTTCTTCCTTGCAGATTGTCACGTTGACTAAAATTTCGATATTTTCTTCGTTAGATATCCGAGCTAGACGCTGGAATATGCGAGCATCATTGGCCGCAGGTTTAGCAAATTAACACTACTGGATTCACCACTTGATTCTCCTTCTCCGAACCACTCAGAAATATCCACATTTACCACTGCAACAATTGAATAACCTTCCTTTGTTAACGGTTTCCTTCTCCACCTCGAAACATTCCATGAAACAATGTCCACACCACGGGCATCAACGCTTTTTCGAACAATCCAGAGGCTTAAATTAATGTTTAGTGCATACTTCCAGGAAGGCAGTCTTAGAAGTGCGTACTTTATCTATAAGTGCATATTCTTGCATCCATTGTAACAAGTCAGTTTTGTAAGTGCATAATTCTGAGACATATCCCTACGATCATTCTAAGAAGGCAATCTGCTATTTGCATACCATATTCCCTCAATTAGTGCATACTTCTAATGAGCAAATTTGGTTTTAATGCAAAATCGAGTTATTACATAAGTCATGGTAAACCTCAACGTGATGGAAATTTATCTTCGTAATAAGAGGTATGGAGAAGAAACAAAATCAAAACGAGAAAATATGAATATAGAAATTGAAGGTTAGAACACGTTATCATTGTCCTCAAACGATACTCGCTCCTCTTGAATTGAAATTTGGTGATTGTAAGGTTTTCAGCAAATAGTATGTAGAAGCAATCAAACCTTGTCAAAGATTCAACGCTTAATCACTTAGGGCCTTTTTGATTGCAATAATGAAATTTGGATGGAAAGAAAACAAATTCTAAAGAATTGAATTACCTAGAACTTGTTTTATTGGGAATTGTCAATTAAATATATTTGATTGATATAATTTTTCACTTGAAAAATGTTGAAAATTGGATCTTTTGGTATTCGTTTGACTTTGTTTTTCATGCAAATTGTTAATTAAAATTTAAATGGATAGAATTTGTTACAATTATGGATATAATTTATTTTTATTGTCCAAAGAAAATAAAAAAAAGCTAGAAAACCCAATTCATACCAAATCCAAAGGAAATTGAATTCCTTAAAAACCAAGAAAATGCGGTCAGGTGGAGAGTAATTAGAAAACCAATTCCATGAAAATTTTTTGGCCATCAAAAATATATTTTTGGGTGGAAATGGAATTTTTTTTTCAATTTCCATGGAAAAACAAGCCTATCAAATAGGCTCTTAGTGTAATCCTCCAAATTTTGAAAATACAAAGAATATGAATATGATGGAACTTTGATTCTTTTTGTGAAATGATTTTTCAATCAAAATATGTTTTGCACTGTAATGAATATCAATCACCTATATATAGGCCTAAATGTGGCTCCATGAATTGACACCAAAACAAAATGAAAAGCCACCAAAATTCAAACTAAAACGGTCATCTAACGACTAGTTTGTAGTTCTATGTGGTCGCATGGGCCAATCTATGAGACTGCATAGTTCATTCAATGGCAGGGCCTTCTTATATGACTATGCGACTGCATGCCATTGTGGTCTATGCGGTCACATAGTACAATGTTTTGACCTTCGATTCCAATTTTTATTTCACATTCCTTTATTGATTTTGAAAAACCTTTCAACACAACCTATAGTCAATTTATAATTCCACTGACCCATGCCCCACCTCTATTCATTTGCCCAAATTTAATTTCCAAATTATTAGCCATATATTGGTCACTCTTCTTTTTTTTTTGGATGTCCAACTTTTTAACGATTTTAAAAAAGACGGAATTTTTTTAATAAAAGTGAATAGAATTGCCAAATAATATTTCAACAAATTATATTTCATATCTTAGTTTGAATGGATTTCGGTCAACTTTTTGCTAATGTGATATAAATTTTTTCGGTTGTGCTACATATATATCATAACTTACAGATTTATTTATCAACATATGATGTGACGATATTTAATTGAGTCAAAATTTCAACAACTAAATAAAAAAAAACTTATTCATTATCTCTTTAACAACTCATCAATCTGTAATATTATATAAACAGTGATGTACAATAAGTATTTTTCAAAAAATTTCAACTTCTAAAAATTGTGTTAATATTTATATTTCTATACCTTTTTGTTGATTCTATGATCTGTCAATGTTTGTTTCTCCAATTTCAGCATTGTGCAATCAACTAGCACCTATGACTTGCCAATCGTGGAAGCGACAACACTGCCCCTACCAACACATGCTTTATAGAGAGGTTTTTATTTAGTATTTGTTGATGCTTAAGGGCAACTCCAATGCTAACACCATTGCACCATTTTTTGGTGTAAAGTTGCTCCAATGCAACACCAAACTTTGCACAATTTTGGTGCAAAAAAAGGTGTAATGAATAGTGTTGCACCATTTACACATTTTTTGCACCAAATGATGCAATTTGTTTTGCTCTTATTATTCATTTTTCAAAGATAATGGTTAATGGTATTTGTGTCATTTTCGTTCTATGATGATAATGATGATGATGATGATTTATTACACTATTAATTATATTATTAAAGTTTATTAATTTTATAATATAATCAATAATAATTAACGTAATTATTAAGGGTAATTGGCACAAAGCGTCCCTATCTTTCAAGTTTATTGTGGAAAACGTCCATACCTTTCATTTTTTGACATTTTGCTCCTATTTCTACCTT